CCAGGCTGTTTTGTGTCAGTGTCTGATTTTCAAAGCTTTATATTGTGAAATGGCGCTAATATTTGACTAACATGCTAATACTTAATTTGATAATACAAAATTTAATTAAATCTTATCCAGTGTTTCTTAACAACTGATTTGCCAGCAACAGTGACAAGTTGATCAAAGTAACAAAAATGGGAAGGCACTTTTAACTGGCATTTGGAGAAATTAGCCTTGGCTGTAGAACATGGAAGTATACTTTGTCCCTTCATTTTACAAGGGGGCTTCATGGTCTGTCACTTAATTTCTTAGGTTTCTTGGGTGGTTTTAAGTTAAGTCCCATTCAGTATGTCAGGTGAAGGCCTCACAGTTGTACTTATACTTGAAACTAAATGAAAATTAATTCTATTCAGAAAGTCACTGCAGTTCTACTGCCTAAACATTACAGGACTCCAATGCTAGAGAATGGACTGGTGTGCTTTTCTTCCTCGTAAACTTGTTTATTCTAGTTGTACAGTGCAACTAAAATACAGAGTCATTGTGATTTCCTGAATATTTTATATGTGGATGGATCATTGTAGTTTGGAGGAATTCTGACTACTACATCTGTCTATATGGTGGAAAACTTAAGGATTTCTTTTTTTCTTTCAGAATGGTGAGATTCAGCCAGTGAGTGTAAAAGTTGGCGAAAAGGTTTTGCTGCCAGAATATGGTGGTACTAAGATTGTACTAGAAGATAAGGTAGGTTTCCCAATGTTGCGAATGCAGATTAAGCTGGTTCCCAAAATGTCATACTGCCAGTGATAGATGCTGTAGTTACTTCATGGGGTTAGCAGCATTCAGGAAAGGCAGTTGTTGGCATTCTAATGGCAGCAGCTGAATCCAGCCAGCTTCTGGTACCTCTAGTACTTGCTGCTTCCACCCCTGCTTAAAAGGAAGTCACCAAAGAAACCTCTGGCTTGACCTTTGCTGGGTGGACAAAGTGGCTCCGTATGCCAAATGTATATTGGATGGAAACCTAAAGAGCTTTGAAATTACTGGGAGTATCCTTGCTTTTGACAGGGAAAGCTTGCAGAATTGTCTTCTAACAGTTTTGCACTTCCTACTACTAAAATAGTAACTTGGTAGCTTTCCCAAAGAGTATCTTATGAACAAAAGCATATTTTCAAGAAGTCAGCACGTAGAGCTAGTCTTGGTTAGCTCACTTTTGATTTTGTACTTCGTGACTGTGGTAGCCCTGACTTCAGAACAAGACACTATTTGCAAAACAACTGTTGTGACAGGTACTAATGTTTCTTTCCTTTGCAGGACTACTACTTGTTTAGAGATGGCGACATTCTTGGGAAATACGTGGACTAAACTTGCTGCAGTATCAGTCATCCATTCCACTAAAATGCTGAAATTTTTCTTTCATCATGTAAATAATGTCCTTTATTTTATAATAAGCAGGCATTGAGTCTCTGAAATAACTTGCGATCTCACTGTAATGATGGAACACAAATAAAAATATGTACAGTCAGAAATCAGTTGCTCTTGCTTGAGTTCCATTGAACAGTGACATTCAGATGACCACCAACCAGCCTTAATGATTCCAAACAACATCATTTTATATCCTTATCTCTGTACTGAGATTGTAAAGGTCTTTACAATAAATATCTAAAACTATTCTGCTTCTGTCTCGGTTTCTACTGTTGCTCAGTGAAACTGAGTCTCAGTTGTGTAATGAACAGATCTCTCTGAAACAATTCAGTTGTAGTAGTACATTATTTTCCTTAAACTTGTTTGAAGTTGACAGATGAGTTTAAAATGGTTATCACCTAGATGCAGTGCAGGGGACATACAGCTAGTTGCCTTGTACATTGAACTTTATCTGAAGATAACATGTTTTTTTAACTTCTGTCTTAGCAATAGCTAAGATGCAGGTACACTGAAAGATTAATGCCCACCAACCACGCTGCCACAAACAGCCTGTCTGTCCCACAGCAGTATAAAAAGGAGCTTGGTACTAGTCACCTGTGCTAGAACAAAATCATCCCGTTCATAGATGAAGCAGATAAGAATTACAATGGTTTTTCTTACACACCTCTGTCCTGGTTTGAGGTACACAGGACTAATTTATCTTCTAATGCTTGGGAAAATGCACTTTTGAAGACTTGTCTGAATTTGTGAAAATATTTACTTTATAGCCAGCTATGGTACGTGGCTTTCAAGGTCTCGGTGTTTTTGAGCTAGCCAGGTGCAGGGGCGAGGAAGAGCGAGACCGGGCACTTGACCCAACTGGCCAAGTTTCATACCATGAACATCGCATTCAATATAAATTAGAAAGTTTGCTGAGAAGTTCTTCCTTGATGGCTGCCATCCTGAGAACTTTTTGCCCCAGTGCCAGACTCCTGAGCCCTTCCCTTCCTCCCAAAACTGCAGCGCTCACAGTGTCCCACATTTTCCGTCCCCTGTGAGCCTGTGCTAGAACAAAATCATCCCGTTCATAGATGAAGCAGATAAGAATTACAATGGTTTTTCTTACACACCTCTGTCCTGGTTTGAGGTACACAGGACTAATTTATCTTCTAATGCTTGGGAAAATGCACTTTTGAAGACTTGTCTGAATTTGTGAAAATATTTACTTTATAGCCAGCTATGGTACGTGGCTTTCAAGGTCTCGGTGTTTTTGAGCTAGCCAGGTGCAGGGGCGAGGAAGAGCGAGACCGGGCACTTGACCCAACTGGCCAACAGTTTCATACCATGAACATCGCATTCAATATAAATTAGAAAGTTTGCTGAGAAGTTCTTCCTTGATGGCTGCCATCCTGAGAACTTTTTGCCCCAGTGCCAGACTCCCTTTCTCCTGAAGCCTTGGTGCTCGCAGTGTCTGACATTTACTGTCCACTGCTGGGAGTGCACAGCTTCCTACTGATACGATTGGCTGAGTATAATCCTTGTATATTTCATATTGGTGTCTGGATCAATACTGGTTCTTTACTATTATTAATGCTAATTATTTAGTAGTATTCTATTAAATCTATTTATATTTCAGCCCCCAGGTTTCCTTGTTTTTTCCCCAATTCCCCTTCCCATTTGCAGAGGGGTCATTGGGTGATAGAACAATTGTCTAAAGGACAATATTGTTGTGAGTTCCCAAAACTGTAACAACCTCTCCATGAATTTTGCCAATAGAAAACAAGTAACTTCCCCCCCAGAAATTAATCAGACAGAATTAGGGCTGATGCTGATCTTAAAGCAACTTTCTTTACTGATAACTACATTATCTCAAGCCAGATCTCCAGCTTTCCCATAACATAGTAGAGAGCTGATTTGACAAAATATATTTCCTTTATCTTTAATGCATCATTCTTAAATAGCAAGAGATTTACTTAAGTAATGCTGAAGCAACAAATTTGTGTATTTTAACTACCCTGTCTTGCCTTGGAAAAGGATTCAAGATTATTCACATAAGAGTACACAAATCTGCACTTGATACAGTGTGTTCCTAATGATGCCTTCAGAGTTGGTATGCATAGGTTGGTTTAGTGCAGTCTGAGAATGTACACTGCTTTAAAATGTTTTGATGTAGTCTTATGTAAAATAAATCTATACTGACTGCTGTTGCTACTGAAGCTTTAATAGCAGTAGTTAAATGGTTCTTTCTCATTACATTCAAGCTGTTCAAAATCAACATTGCTTGATACACTATCAGTCTTATTTTTTCTGGAGATAACAGGAATGGACTAATGAAAAACATTTTTCAGAACTTCAGTAGCTGCAGTGGGGGAATTCAGCTTTGACATACTCTGAAACAGTGTATTTTCTACCAGGGTAGTTTTGGGTCCCTCTTCCCGACAGCTAAACTTAAGCAGTGAGGAGAGCTGGAGACACTTTTTAACCTAGATGGCAGTTATCACCCAGCTATTTTGTTAGCAGCTATGTTTGACTGTCATCTTGGCTCTAATGTCTTTTGCTCCCTGCAGTTGGGTGGTGTGCTGCTCATTGGCTGGTTACCACTCATCTACTTTGGAGCTGCAGGCAAAAGTTACACTGTTCAGGTGGTTAAACTGCCACTGAACTGAAACGTGTACTAACAGGGAAGATGCTAAATTAAAAAATCATGTTTTGGTATAAAAGGCCTACTTCTTGAAATCTGCCCTATGACAGTTTTACTTTAGTAGTTACACTGAAGCTTAAGGTTATCACACTACCAATATCTTAAAAGACAATGGTGTAATGAAACAAACTCATTGAGAAGTGTTATCTTCCACTAGAGCAAGCATGATAAGGTAGGTATTCTGGTGTAGTCACATACCAAAGAGGGGAAGGTATTTAACATATTTACAAACTACTTACTTTATGAAAACTAGACCACATCTCAATGAGAAAAAGACACAGTAGAAATCAACTCCCAATAGAGACACGTCTAGACCTAACATTTCACCATTGCCTTCAATAACGTCTTCTAGAAACACACTTTACATAAGGTCCCCCGCTCACAGCAAGTCATTTAATGATTTACAGTTCTTGTTTATGAGGAGCCACTGCAACCTGTGGGGGTGTGATCTGAGGGCCGGTGATCCAGAGGTAATGCATACCCCCTTACTACTCGCACGACTTACCTTCACCCCCAAGTGACCCCACCTTCACTCCTCAGCCAAGGCAGCACCACTGAACCAGCCTGTGCCCCAGCAGGATTACGCCGAATTCGCACAGCAGTGCTGCCAAGCATGCACCACACAAGTCTCTCTCTGCCCCCCAAACCCTACTGCCAACCCCCGCTTTCAGCCGCAACGGATTTTCAGCAGCTGGATATCATGCTTATTTAATGACATATTTAGCATGGGTGTATCTACTACTGTTTGCATAACTGATTAAAAACAAAAGTTGCAGTTTCGTGAAAACTTTCACGGGAATAAGTAATTTTATGGATGTGGAGGGAAAAAAAAAAAAAAGCATTCCTAGGCCTTATCAAATGGAGGACACACTTGAGTGTCTGCTGGATCAATAAACAGAGAACATTGTATTCTTGCGCCATGAGGCTATCACCACAAGCAAGGACAAGGTAACTGCTTGAGGTCCATCTGCTGCTGCGGCTTTTTAGTCCACAACTGCATGCCAAATTCTATAACCCCTGGGTGCTACAGGAGAGGACAGAATCAATCACAAACGCTCTTTCTTTGCTGTGTCATTCCTGTAGGAATTTAGACTTCTTTATTTCACTGTTTTCTAGACTATTTCAAAGCTGCACTTTTGGCAAAAAATGTTACATATTGCCCCAACCCACTTTTTGGGGCATACAGTTCTTCCCAGCCTTTCCTCAGTCTGTCTGAATCATAAAGTAACAAGGTGGATTCCATCTACTTTTGCTACTTTCCTCATGTTTCAGAACCACGTCCATTAGCAGCAGCTGTACTGTTTTCAGAAGACCTTTATTGTCCTGGTTGTTATCCTGCCATAGTAAGGAAAGGATGAAACTTATATGCAGTATTAGAGAAGAAAGAAAGGCCGGGTGCCTAACAGCACAGGAATAGTCAGCAAGATTTTGGGCAAATAATCCATTTTTCACTCTTGAAGTTAATAAAACAATGAGGACCAGGTGAAAAGCCAAAAGTAAAATTACTGTTGATCAGATTTTGTTTAAAAACAACTTGAAATCCAATAAAACAAAAATAATTAGCAGCTTCCAGGAATATGGGGTTAATGATCAAGGGGCAACACAAGAGACCTACAGACTTTAACAAGCTCATTAAGAAACACTGCAGATTTCTTTAATTTTTCTGCAAACCCATGAGCTAGCTGCAGATTGACCTAACAGATATGTACTTCTCTGAGAGGTATTTCTTGACAGCCAGATTTATTTGCATTTTAGAAGCAAGATGTCCATGAAGTAAAAGTCAGGGACAAATGGAAATGTCAAATACCCAATTATTACGTGCTTTAGATATCAGTTAAACCTTGAAAATGACAATGGGGGGAAAAAAAAAAAAAAAAAAGACCACACAACCTCCACCACCACCACCACACCAAAACCACCAAACAACAAAACACCAAAATCAAAATCAAACAAACTGCTGAATTCTAAGGGAATTAAACAGCTAGAACTGCTTTTATTTTGGGACTGGCTAATTATAATATCAATCTCATAAAAAAAAGAACGTTGGATTACTGCTGACCTAATGAGGAAAAGGACATTTGTACCCTTCATTCTAATGCACTAATTTCTCCCAGCGTTGTTAACCTTTTCATGGTTTCTTACACAAACTGTTAGGAAGTGCTGAGTTTCACCATGTGCCCCAAACAGCTAACACTGCTGGGGCATGAATGCTGACCAGGAGTAAAAGAGTAACTAACGCAAACTGAACTCAGGTGCCTAAAGTTAGGAATACCACCTCTGCGTTACAGTGTAACATGCACACAGCTGCCATGGCTGTCAATATAAACTGCTGGTTAGCTGGGTGCATGCACCCAGGCAGGGGATGACCCCATTACCCGTTTCTCAGCGCTTGCACATTGTCCAATTTCCAGCTCCAACCTGGCCTCCAGAACAAGGCAGGACCCCGGTCACAGCATTGCCCAAGCAAAATAAGTATTCAAAATGCACTTTGCTTTCTGATGGGAAAACCTGATTAGAGATTTTTCAATGTTTTCAGTCCAGAAACGTTTCACATACTCTAACTCTCATTGGGTAGAAGGAAAAGACTTTAAGATGGGGAAGCAGGTGTTATTTAGAGCAAATGAATTGAGTGGGAGGGAAACCACACCTAGCATTCCCTCTAATGCAGTGGAACTAGGGGCAGCATCAGGTACCAGCGTTCTCCACGTTTCAGGAAACAGCACACAACTGCAACCATTTACTTACTTATTGCATAAGAGGAGGTATCTCATCTCTATCTTGTTGCTCTATCATTCTTGCTCACAGACACAAGCAATTCATCCATACTTACTTATTCTGTACTCCTTTCTACCATCTCTTCTCCAGAAAGACAGCAGCTTCCAAATAATTTCCTTCTCACTTATCCTACAGAAATAATACAAGCCACTCTAGCCTTCCAAAATGTCTGCTTCCTCGTAACAGGGACCTATTTATCAGCCAACTATAAGCTAACAGTGCCTTTTTTTAATGTTTTCTTCTCAAATACAGTCAACACTTCTAACACCCAACTTGGTAAACCTTGAAACCCAAGCTAACTCTGTTTTCCATTAGGGCAGCAGTCTGTGACCTTTGCACACCAAACTCACAAGTCTGTCAGTCCTGCCTTTGAAGACCCAGAAAGGCTTTGTACCTACTTTGTTTGAAGTATTTTGCCCCAGATTACTGTTGGTGTGGGGTGGGGTTTATTCATTATTCTCAGCATGAACAACTATGTATCTTTAATGTAGGACTTGAAGTATTTGTTCAAAAATTCACACCTTTATGGTTTATATTGTACAAAATTTCATAGACTCAGTTGTGTTTGACTTGTATAGAGACTCACGTAGAGGCTCAGAGACTTGCATAGAGCAAGTGAGGACTGACCTTGCAGGAGAGCACGCACACAGTCAGATGCTGACAGAGGAATACTGATGAAACAGGATGAAATCTGAAGAACGCATTTATCCTCAACAACCAGCCAGCGTGCTCATCTCTGGAGACTTCATCTCCCAAAACACAGACTCACAGAATGGTCAGGGTTGGAAGGGACCTCTGGAGACCATCTAAGCCAACCCCCCTGCCAGAGCAGGGTCACCTACAGCAGATCACACGGGACGGCGTCCGGGCGGGTTTTGAATGTCTCCAGAGTGGGAGACTCCACAGCCTCTCTGGGCAGCCTGTGCCAGTGCTCCACTACCCTCAAAGTAAAGAAGTTCCTCCTCATGTTAAGATGGAACTTCCTATGCTTAAGTTCGTGCCTGTTACCTCTTGTCCAACAACTCCGCTCACTGTTACAGCCCTGTCGCCGTGAAACCGGCCTCACCGCGCAGCTTACGCTTCCTCGGGAAGGCACCCAGACACCCGGACAGAAAGTGGCAGGGAACACCGTTAAAACCGTCCCCAGCTCCCGGGTGCGCGTGTGGTGGTGTCCCTCAGGAAC